GCGTGACCGCCTGGGATCTGCGCTACACTCACATATACACGCACACCCAGTACACCCCCACCCCGTACACGCTGTCAGCGTACTCTCTTCACACACCACTCGCACACCACCACCACTCCTCTCATTCAGACTGCTCAGCGCGAGCAGTAGTGTTGTGTGTTGTTGTGTGTGTGTGTGTGTGTGCGCGCGCGCGCGTGCGTGCGTGCGTGCGTGCGTGCGTGCGTGCGTGTGTGTGTGTGTGTGTGTGTGTGTGTGTGTGTGTGATATCGTAATGGCATCAATGAAAACAAACAAACCCCCCAAACGCCACGGTCGCTTCTTCCACGGTGCGTGCAGCCGGCCTTCGCAGTGACGCCCTAGCGCACTGTGTGCATGCTCAAAGCAGACGGATATAACAGTGGTTGCCCTCGTAATTTATGCGCAATCTCTGTGTCCTTGGTTGAAATCAGCAGGATGAAATGGTTGTTGACCTGGTAACGCGTGAGCGTGCTGTGTCCGTAATGGAAGCAGAAAAATGAAATTGTGGTTATTGTGGTAACAGCTAGATGAACGTAGTCCGTTTCCACTATGAAGACAGGGAGATGGAATCGTGGTCAGCGAAAGTCATACATAGGCGGATAGTTTATTCTTTCGTGGGATTAGACTATTGGAATGTTACGTGCCCCAGTAACACGTGCACAGTAACCCTGTCTATAGTGAAAGTAGAACGATAGAATAATGACTAACCATGTGATATGTCACAAGCACCGGCCTTCGAAGGCATGATTAGTTTTCGCATCCATTGCCTGCAGTGTCTAGTGTGTTAATGCTCGAAACATTTCAAAATTCTCTCCGTCTTCACTATTTTTGCATGCAAGGACTCTTCATGCGACTGTCACTCGCGAGACACGATTCTCTGTTGAAAAATTTCACTGATACACGAGATGTCGAATTGAGAAAGAAGAGTTCGAAAACATCGCAACAATGCGTGCGAAGTCGGCTTTCTGGAGCTAAGTCATGGCTAGGTGTCTGCGTGACAGACTGCGGAGTAGGCGCATTTCAGCGACGTAGCGTACATAGTCGCTTAACCCGCGCTGCGCGAGTATTTCCCCTGCGTACGTCGGGAAATATTTCCTCCGCGTAGCCGACTGCCCGCAGTGAAACAACTCCTTCGGAAAGCAAACATGCGTCTGAGACGTGTTCGCACGGGCGGGCTCGAGTGCTGAACGTGCCAATGTCTACGGTATTGGCGATCAGATATGTTTATATATCAGCTATATTTGTATATCAACTGCATTTAGGTATTAGCTAGAAATTTGTATTACACAGTATGATGCCCGCGGAAGGCCTAGTACGACGAGTAGAGTATCTGCTTCAGTCAAGACGCGGTGCGGGTCACAGTCACTTGGAGCGTTTCAATAAAATATAATGCTAAATAAATACGCAATCTATTTACTACCAAAGTCTTAATGTTTCTCTACTCGCTTTCACCTATTATTGCCGACAATTTCCTGTAAATGCCGTCTAAATGCTCATCTGCAAACACACGCTAGCTGCCGCACGCTAGCTGCTGCACACTGACAAATAAATAAATATATATATATATATATTTATGTGTCAGTGTGCAGCAGCTAGCGTGCGGTGTACTTGTGTGTTGCAGATGAGCATTTGACTGGCATTTACAGGTGATTATAGGCGAAATAGAGTAGAGAAACATTGAGACATTGGTAGTAAATACATTTCGTGTTTATTTACCTTTATTTTTTTTATTGAGACGTTCCAAGTGCCTGTGGTGCGGGTGGCCTTACAGAGCATTTGGGAGTTGCTAGCTGTTACACTGTTGGACACAATCCGGGTTGACAGCTAGATCTGTCTGCCATTGCATGTAACACGCACGCCGCAGTCGCAATCATTTATAAAGCAGAACATAGACGCACTCCCTGTAATGTGCCCCCGATGGAAATATCGCGCATTTATTTGCTATTCAAATTGTCGATAAGCTGTAGTCGTGGACAAATCGGGGACGAATGCTACGATCCGAATTAGATTTCAATGGGATCGTGGTTCGCAGCTAGTTGAGCGTGAGGCTATTACATCTGGTTTTGTAGGTGAAGGGAACACGGCGCGCCAGTGGCCGCCTGGAAAATTGCTTTATATGGCGAAATTAGCACGTTTCTGAGGGTTTAACAATGTAGATAGTATCTTTGATGTGCATTTGTGTGTTTGTGTGTGGGTGTGTGTGTGCGCGCGCGTGTGCGTTCAGAGAATGCCGTCGTAGTCAGCTTTGACTTTAGCACGCCTTGACATTCCGACACACACACGCGCACGCACGCACGCCCCCACACCCATGCACGCACGCATGCGCAGATACGCAAATTCACAAATACACACGCAGATACAAATGCATCGCAATAGCATTCAACCATGAAAACATTCACACGCCTCCACGCACGCATACATGCATGCAGGCATATACACATATACACGCAGGCATGCATGCACGCTCACACGCACGCACCCACCCACTCTCCCCTATCATTCTCTCAACCGGCTCCAATTTAGAACTGTGGTATGCGAGTAGTAATAGTTTATGTTATTTACCAACCAGTTATAAAAGTTTTATTGAGTAAGAACATGTCACCATTTCCTCAATATACTAGCTGCAGCATTTAAAATTTATATTATAACTTTATTCTAACAAATTCTAAAAATCGTATAGGCATCTATATGCGCACGCACGCACGCACGCACACACACACACACACACACACACACACACACACACACACACACACACACACACACACACACACACACACACACACAAGCATACATGTGTGTGCACATGTATATATGAACTAATGACAAAGCAGTGTAGAACGATTTTTTTTAGCAAGAACCGCCGGGGTGGGGGGGGGGTGAGTGAAACCGGTAAGCTACTCAGAGAGACACCGGGGCGGATCGTCGATATAGAGTTTGCCTAAACCACCATTAACACAATGACACGAACTAGTTGGCAGCAGCCTCGGCTCGCTGCTCGCCGGATGTATGAATGACGAGACATGAATCCTTGCTGGTGCCACGCGTGTACGAGCGCGTATGTCACACGACCTATGTTCCCCTCCCGCTATTGTTCTCTCCCCCTCCCTATTGTTCTCCCCCTCTCCCTATTGTTATCTTCCCCTCCACCTCTCTTACACCCACACACGCACACATCCTCCCTCGCATCCTCACCCCTCGTTCCCACCGTGTATCATCTTATACGCTCTCCCCAGGCCACCCCTTGAACCCGGCTGTCACTCCCTCGTCTCCGCTCTCTCCTCTATTTCGTTTTCTCGCTCGTTAGCTCACCCAACTTATTTATCGCTTTTCTGTGTTCCCTCCTCCCTACACATCTCTGTCAATAGCACTCTCCCCTCTCTCATTCGCTCCCCCTCTACCCCCCCCTCGCTAACCGATCCAGAGTGCTCGTGTTCAGCAGAGAAAGAGCGCGAGAGAGAATGAGAGAGGTGACAGAGAGACAGACAGACAAATACACACACACACACACACACACACACACACACACACACACACACAGCACAACACAACACACCAGCGCTGCGCAGCACAGAGCAGAGAGAGAGGAGAGAGACGCAGAGGAGAGAGAGAGAGAGGGAGAGCAGAGCAAGACAGAGGGAAGGGCGAGCAGAAGCCGAGAAGACATTACGGGCATCGCTCAGTTACCCTGACCCTGCCCATTATCGCGCGCCATCCCTCCTGCGCGTGACGCTGCGATCCATAGCCTGATCGATGCGCATCCAGTTCTCTATCCTCGCTGTCTCCCCTCGTGACCGCATCCCCTATCTTTTTTTTACCTCGCCAAGCGCACCCAGCGAAATCTCTCTACGGATGTATGTCACACACACACACACACACAACACACACACACACACAACACACACACAGTGGTACTGTCCAGCCACGCGTGACGCCTGGCGGATCTGCGCTACACTCACATATACACGCACACCCAGTACACCCCCCACCCCGTACACGCCTATAGTCAGCCCGTTACTCTCTTCACCACACCACTCGCCACACCACACCACTCCTCTCGATTCAGACTGCCTCAGCTGCGAGCATGAGTTTGTGTGTTGTGTGTTGTTGTGTGTGTCTGTGTGTGTGCGCGCGACTCTCTTTGCCGCTTCAGCCTCGTGGAACTTTTGCCGCGGCTGCGCGTACGCTCGTGTCACACATCTAGCTGAGCCAGTACCACGGTCTTCACGCCAGTGATCTATTGGCACGCACTGCAGTACGGGAAAGAAGTGCGGCGCGGCGGTGATCATCCATAGCTTACAGGACGCGGGGGATTTCTTGTTGAACGCAGGCCGCGAGGAAGCCGGCACGTGCGTCGGTAGACAGCCACTCACCCAGCCGCGAGAGTGCGCTCACAGTCATCGGTTTGTCGCGAGGAAGGATTACATAATTTGTGTTGTTTGTGCGCACAGACGGGCGAGAGAAAGTTTGGAGAATTGCGACCGAGAACGGGGAGAAGTAAATCGTCCACATCCGGCAGCAGGAGAGTGCGGAGACGACGGGACAGCGCGCGGATCCGTGAGTCGATGCCTGGAGGCTGAGCGAAGTGCTCCGTGGCCGGTGAGTATATATACGCGCGTGTGTCGCACGCGAGCCTGGCCGCTCGATTCCGTACCATCAGGGGTTAATAATGACAAATTGTAATTGTTGTAATGACAATTTGTCATTGGTAACCCTTAATTCTATATCTGCATCCTCGACGTTTGTTGCATCCCGTCCTCTCAAGTTTGTCACCCCACGTATATCTGTCTCTCCCACGTATCGCACTATCGTCGTGTCACCCTCTCAAAGTGTCTACCCGCTCCACGGCTCTCCCTCACGCGTCTCCTTCCCCACGTGTGTCACAACCCCAGCATCGTTATCACCCACGTAACTCACTATCTCCGTTTCTCCCTCTCCACATATCTATCTTTCACACGTCTTGCTCGCCACGTGGGCCACTACCCCGGTATCTTTCTCTCTCACCTATCTCACTATTTTCGCACATAACGCCTCGGTTGTCTCCCTCCCTCATTTCTCACCTTATCTCAGACGTCTTCCTTCCCCTCATTTTCCACTACACCCCTATCTCTCTCACCACGTATCTCATTATCTCCGTGTCTGCCCCTCACCGTGTCTCCCGCTCCACATATCTCAAGTCCTTAATGGCCCTGTCACACATTGACGATTTAGACAGCGTATGCCGGACGTATCAAAATTTCTCTAAAACGCTGGCATACGCTGAACTATGGATGTTTTTTTTCCAATTTTGGGCGTATACATAGCGTATTCATAACGAGTTGGACGTATAGTTAACGTATTAGTAACGTATATAGAACGTTTCGATAACTTATAAGATAACTTATACTAACGAATGCTTAGCGTGTTGCCGGCGTTCACAACTTATGCCCAACGATAGTCTAACTTGTGCATAGCGCGCGGCAGCGTATCGCCGACGATCACGTGTCGTAGCCTATAAAAAGGCTGCCGCTCGACGATTCAAATCATAACCGCACTAGACATCACAGTATTAACATCACCGTCGCAGTATCAACATGCCAATACCATTTTTATATACCAATTCCCCTAAACGCTGCCAATACGCCATTATACGGTAGCTGTAAGTTAGAAACACGTTCAGTAAGTTCTGTGGTCGTCCGGCACACGTCAAATACGTCTACATACGTCAATATGCGTTGGAGATAAGTTACGCATAGGTTCAAAGCACGTTACTCATAAGTTAGAAATAAGTTTTGGGTACGCTAGACATTATCTCGACGTATTTCGACTTATGAGTAACTTACAACTAACGTGTGTGAACGTGTGTCAACGATCGCATAACTTACCTACAACTTATGGCCCGCGTATGCGGGACGTATGGGCATACGCTGGCATACGTCGGAAAATTTTGAGCATGCTCAAAATTTTTAGACAACCTCGCCGTACTACGACGTATACCAGCGTGCTTCAGCGTGCTCTTAACTTATACAAAGCTTACCCATAACTTATTCGACGTACGCCAGCGTATTCACCAAATTTTTTATACGTCCGGCATACGCTGGCTAAATCGTCAATGTGTGACAGGGCCATAAGTGTCTACTATTATGTCAGTGTTTTCGATACCTCCACATCTTTATTCACCGGTGTCTCCGACTCCTTCCTTATCTCACAATCATTCAGTAATGTTTTATTCCCTATCTATTGCCTGTTTCTCTTTACATTATTTGTATCCTCTTTCTGCTCTCTTTCCCGTCTCTTCTTCTCTCTCCCCAGGTATATTCCTCCCATCCTATCTTCCCTGCGTTTCTCCCTATACCCTAGTATCTTCGTATGTTCCCTCATCACGATCTCACCCATTCTCCTTGTATCTTGTATCTTTGGGTCCCTCTCTTGTATTTCACAAGGCACTGATTCTCTATTTGGAATGTGCGGGGAATTTTATTCTTCTTCTTATTCCTTATTCTTTCCTCCTGCTGTGTTCATTCATTCAGTGCTTTCTATGGCGGCTTTAACAGTCGTTCTGGTTGTCTGTGTGTGAGGGGGGGGGGGGTAATATTCAAGATTGTGACAGAAAATCGACATGGTGGAATCCGAAATGCGTGACACTGGCAGCCGCAGCTACGCGTTACATACAGCTCTAGCCATAATATAGAGTATGCAGCAATGTGGGAGTGTTAACAGAGAACCACGAGAAGTGATCACATCGCCTTATTCTTGTTCTTGTTAATTGTTCTTGTTCTTCTTCGCCTCCTCCTTGTTTTTCTTCTGCGCCTTTATCTTCGTCTTTTATTATCGTTGTCGTCTCTTTACTTCCTTCCTCTTATGTTCTTCTCTTTCTCTTATACCCATGCATTCGCTTCCGCTCGCCCCCATCTTATTCTCCACCTGCGCCTGTCCGCCGCGTTCTCTTGCCCCTCTCGGGGTACATGTTCTTAAATTTATCAGAAGTGTATAAGACTTTGAGGATTGTTTTACGTATTTCGGATTGTCTGTATGTGCCGGCAGCATCGCTCGCGCTGCTGTCGTCGTCAACGTCGCTGTCGCCGCGCTCTGTTCTCTCCGCTAACTGCGCAAGCCGCGACGACAGCGTCGGTCAGGCGCGCGCCGCGGCCCACGCTGTCACCGCTGCTGGCTACTCACTTGCTAGCGACAGGCGTCTTCTCTTGATTGTCGGTGACCTCAATATTGTGCCTTTTTTTTTCTTCTCCCGCGGATGCTGTTTGTCTTTACGGGGGCTCTGTTTGCCCTAGAAAGACGAGCATTATTTGGAGAGCAACTTGGAAAACAGGTTGGCGGAGGGGACGAGCGTAAGACTAAGGCGCACGTATAGTTCTTCTTCTATATGGCTGACCCAGTTTACACCGGCGTTTATACAGGTTTGCCGGGTGCACACGCAGCGCGTGCGTAACTCTGAGTGTGTAGCAGCTGTACATGTCCTCTTGTCGTCAACTCTGCGACCGCGTGACACAAGATGGGTCTCGGTGTCACCAACGTATGGCGTCACCGTCTCGTATCCGTCGGCGTCGCTCGGCGCAAAAGTAAAATCTCGGGCGCCGTCTTGCCGGGAGCGCACCCTGGCGGTGCTATCCTACGGAGGAGGAGATTCGCACGTGACCGATATTAATTATTCAATTATTAATTATCGTTGACGGCGTGATCCTCCCCCCCCCCGATACACGGTTACGTGTGACAGGCGCCCCCGCTGTCCTTTTATTATTTGATGTAGTAGTATTTGTAGTTATATGATGGCAGTAGTATTTGTGTGTGCGCGCGTGTCTATTTATCGGACATGGCGTGGAGTGTTTTAGCCGTCTTTCGGTCGTGTGCATGGTTATTACGATAGGTCGCTGCGTTGGGTCGCTTGACTCCCGTGTTCGGAGGCGGATTGCTTCTTGTGTTTATTAGCATCACATGTACATTTACACTACTGTACTGTTTTACAAATATATTCGTTGCTGCTGGTGGTGGTGGGGAATGGGTTGTTCTAGTGAACTTCCAATGGAATATTGGTTCACTACAGTAGTTTCACGGAAAATAATCACCATTCGAGGAAGATCGATGCTTTTTGTCACCGTACTGTTTATGTTAGCGGGAATTTCGCGTGGTATTTCTGTTCGGATCGGCGTTTTTATTTTTACTATTATTTTTGCCTTTGTAGTATACGGCGAAGTGTAATTATCTTGTGCACGTTGTATAAACAAGTTATAAATAGGCAAGTGGCTTAAATTCGGTGGGATGTAACTGCATATTGTATTGGAGGTCGAATACATATTTGTTAGATATGGAGTATAGAGTTATATATATAGTTAGCACACTTTGCATGCGCGCACACATACACGTGCATGCGGCGGTAATGGCCTTCCATAGCGGCATGCCTATGTACGCAAAACCTACCTATTTTAATCGCGCTTAAAATGTATTTTAAGCGCGATTGAATTTCAGCCAATCAGAACAGTGGTTTTTAATCGTGCTTAAAATGTATTTTAAGCGCGATTGAATTCCAGCCAATCAGAACAGTCCCTTCTCCCCCTCCTGCTCCACCAGCTCCCTTCTCCCCCTCCTTCTCCCCTTCCTCCTTCTCCACCAGCTTCTCCACCAGCTTCTCCTTCTCCTCCACCACCTTTTTCTCCCTTCTCCCCTTCCTCCTCCACCAGCTTCTCCTTCTCCTCCACCACCTTTTTCTCCCTTCTCCCCTTCCTCCTCCACCAGCTTCTCCCTTCTCCACCACCTTCTCCCTTTTCCCTTCTCCCTTTCCTCCTTCTCCACCAGCTTCTCCCTTCTCCCCCTCCTGCTCCACCAGCTCCCTTCTCCCCCTCCTTCTCCCCTTCCTCCTTCTCCACCAGCTTCTCCTCCTCCTCCACCACCTTTTTCTCCCTTCTCCCCTTCCTCCTCCACCAGCTTCTCCCTTCTCCACCACCTTCTCCCTTTTCCCTTCTCCCTTTCCTCCTTTTCCACCAGCTTCTCCCTTCTCCCCCTCCTGCTCCACCAGCTCATTTCTCCCCCTCCTGCTCCACCAGCTCCCTTCTCCCCCTCCTTCTCCCCTTCCT